GTTTGTATATATCTGTATGTATATCTCTAGTAATTGTTGGAAAGTGTAGTTTAAACAAGATTTTGTTGACGGTATGAGAAAGAAAAACGTAGAAGGACTTCAGATTGTTCATGGTTAGGAATTGGTTATACAATTCAAAATGCCATTTCCCTTGTAGAATCATAATATGTACTTGTTATTTTGAAACTAAGATACTTTGTTGTACAATGCACTTATTAATAAGCTACTGATATCTGTTTCAAATTGCCTTCATAGGAAATGATGTTACCGCTACATATCAATTTTTCATATACAGATCAATTTCATGTTTGACAAATAACACAATTGTAGCACCTTTGCTGTAAAGTCTACTTTAGTCTTGCATATCAGGCTTCTGATTTACTTTAACGTTGAAAACACTGCCAAGTGATGTTTGCAAAATTTTCCTTTCATATCTTGTTCTTGTGTAAGTCATCACAACTTTATCTGCAGTAACTGTTGATGGTGACAGAAAGAATATGGTGGGGTCTTGATGATTATGTATATGCGTGTGTTGAGGTGTAGGCTTACATGCATTGTACATGTACAACTATTGTGTGAGGGCTGTTCAAATGAATCTGTATGATACTGTAAAACGTTCAGCACTCTTTCTTTGCTCTCTCAACCCACTCATCTATGTAATTGCGTCCTATCTCGCAACAAGGGTTACCTCCAATATGACGAGTTAAGGAAGACAAAAGCTATTTCTGCCCAAAGATGACACAACAACACAAGTAAACAAGGAAGGAAAACAAGTGCGTTGTTACAAGACTTTCTGGCCAATAGTGGTCCTTGTATTTCTTCGCAGACTTTACTGATCACTTTGCATGCTTTTGTTTGCGGTACGAAGATGAGTTTCCAACTGTTTTAAACAGTTTTATACCAGTACGTGTACACGTGGTTCGAGTAAGCTGCCTTGCGGTACACAGTGCCATCTGAAACCACTGTTTATATATCAGCAGCAAAGCCGTTTAATTCTTTAGGTCGAGGAAAAACCCTACTTAATGACATCTAGGTATGATTTATAAGAGAAAAAGTGCTAAATTATATTTGAGATGACTAAATTTGAATTAAAAATTGTAAATTAAAGTATTTCAAATTCATAATCTGAACTGCACTCGACTACTCATGAACCACGTCTAAAAATGTTATGTTACGATCTTTTATATAACTTTTTCGTTATAACTTACTGCGTACAGTAATATTCTTCTCAATGCTATTCACAACCTATGTTAAATGTAAGCTTTGTATTATTTCTTTCTCCAAAATATATATACCAAATATAGGTTGACTTGGATCATTTAAACATGTATAAATTGTAAAGGATGGGAGAAAAAATGACTTCAGAGTGGATTGTCAAAATGACAGACTGTAATAAATGTTTGTGGGCAACAAGATTTCGTATTCTGTCGTTTGGTTTTATTGTATAGAGTACATGTAGATATGGTTTTCGACGTCATGTTAATCTTGGAGATTTAAACCTCTTTTAAGTGTACACAGAGTTAACAACAAAATTATCCATACTCCAAAATTATTCATATCTCTACCTGAAATGTAGTAGACTGAAATTTCAACCATTTTAAAATCTATGGTATTTTTAATTTCGTAGCTCAAAACGGTTACCAATAGTTTAAAGAATAAAGCCACCTTTGACATTCATAATTATAATAAAATCTAAGAAAAGTTATGAGGGGTATGCATAATAATGTTAGCTATACGTGTGCATTATTGCCTTGAAGTTCGCCGCCATATTGGTGGTAGGGTGTCGGTGGCCGGAACCAAGATGGCGAACGGAACGCATAAGCACAGTGAAATTACAGTATACTAGTATACTTTTAACAACTTTACCCATACAAACATACCAAACATCACAACGACACACCCACCGGTTTTTTAGTTATCCTCCTTCAAAAACTTTGCAACAAATACCTCTGCAGTTTCAGAACAAGTTGCTAGGGAGACCGAAATCTTATCATTTTGAGGACTCATCAAGACCTACCCACCTACCAAATATCAAGACAATCCATGTAAGCCTTCTCGAGTTATCTGCAGTTACAGAGTGACACACACACAGACTGGCACACACACATGTACATGAACGCTACCGAAAACATAACCTTCGAAAATATACACATCGCATCAACTCAAAGTTACGTGCCTGCAAGCACGTCGCGTATGTTTTTTGTTCGGTATATAGAGGATTAGTGGAATTGGATAAGGTTTAACTCGCCGCAGAATTGTGTACTACTCAGTCTGACATTACACTTCGGGCACCAGTTCTCAGTCAAGTGCACTTCGGGGATTAGCTGAAACCCACGGGTAGTTGTCTGAAGTGGACATTGATACAGTTCCTCAGGAAAGAACGGATATGTCGCGTGTTCTTAAAACACTAGTGCTGGTGCTCCTTTTTCTTTCCTGAACGGCGAATGGTATCAAAGGTAGATAAGATGTCGATGTCCTAGTTCTTAAGGACAGCAGCCCAAGTATAAGTGGGGTGAATAACCTTAGTAAGGCCATGTTGATTTGATTTTATGGATGGCATCCAAATTTTTATCCGTACTTTACTGTACCGTAATTCGTACAAAGCAGCTGCAATGCAAAATGAGCTAATACATGCCGTAATTATATAAAATTATGTATATAAAAGGAATACAATTGAAAAAAAATATCGGGAAAGGATACTAATGTCGTAAATGCCAAAACTAATTCTAAGAGAAAGGGAAAAAATGTGAAGAAATGCAAATGAAGAGTCTATTATTCGCCATACCTGTACGTCAACCTTTATGATCACGTAGATGTCATAATAAAGGCAACTTTCTTTCGTTTCGTATCAGGTTTGATTATACATTGTGTATGATAGTACATTTTCAGGGACTGCTGTATTTCATTGCCAATTTGTATGTCGTCATAGTCCGATGAGGCTTATGTTCTTTCACGAAGAGGCTAAGAAAAAAAAGCGGAATAAGACGACTTAGTAAACGTTGCCGTTTGGGTCAGTAAATATTACATGACTCAGCAGCTAAAGTGTGTAATTTATCATCGCCTTTGACACCTCAACTACTTTGTTGACAAGTTTGCGCGAGACCCTTGTACTTGACCCTGACACTCATTTGTTGTACACACTATCGTACTGTAGGTACTAGTATTCTATCCATACATTCTTCTTTATGCCTATTTGAGTCTCTCTCTCCCCCTCTCCTCTCTTTCTCCCTCTCTCTCCCTCTGTCTTTCTATCCCTGTCTTTCTATCTCTCTGTCTTTCTATCTCTCTGTCTGTATGTATCTGTATAGCCAGTATAACCGGCCTTCGGCGTTACACACCAGCTTCGCAGGTACGGCGGCAGCTGGCTATTTTACATGGAACAACACCTAACTGAAACGTCTGACGTTTTCAAAATCATATCCAGTTGCTTGAGTAACTGTTTTTTTTTTGGCACAACAACACCTAACCTTTGAGCAACTAACTCTTAACATTGTTCAAAGCTATCTAATGATAAGTCATCTACTGTACTTGGTTGCAGTGAGTTCCACTCTGCGGCAGTGCCTTAACATATGAAATTTGGGCTCAAATTCAAATGCCATACATTTATGTCCAGGATTCAGTCGCGTTACTTGCTGTTGACAAAACTAGATTAGATTTGACACAATCGCAACGTTAACCAGCAGCTGGCATTTGGTTTCATTGGTTTAGGATTAGGGTCGATTTGTCCAAGCATACAAAACTATTATCTGGGTTGTTTGTAGAGGATAAAGATTACAGGGTTGTGTTTGTAAGCTGGGATTTGGGTTCAATGGTAGGATTAAGGTTTTAGGATTTTACGTCCTGCATTGATGTCTTTTTACGTACCGACACAATCTTATCCTTCATTCAATACTTTAGAAAATAGCTGATATAACTGCTACATACTCAGATAATTTGTCACGAAACCATTTTTTCTGCATTTAGTGGTTCAAGTATTTGTTCTATGCCGTCTTGTCTAATCCAGTGTACATTACTTCCCTTTTGTGAAGAACAACAGGTTCTCAGAAGGTGTTAACCCACCAGGAGCAAAAGTCTTCGCAAGTGGTTCAAGTATGCTGCCTTGAGGGACACAGTGCCACCTGTAGCCAATGTTTATATATGCAACTAACCTCTACCAGGCTTCGGGAGGCGGCTGGAAAGAGTAGAAATTGCCTAGGGAGTTGGTCCGCTAGAGAGTACATTTTGTCACAATTTCTGCTCCGTCCAGCCGCCTCCCGAAGCCTGGTAGAGGCTAATATACAACGCAACTGCTCGGAAATTACGCCCCTACGCTGTAACACTGGCGCCGTCAGCCCTCTTCTGTTGACACGCTCCACCAGCTCTGGAAGAGGCCGCACGAGTGGCACCAGCCTTTTCACGGGACCTCACGAGAGCTGCGCGCTTTTCACCCCAACACGGATCTTACCTCTTCACTCAAGTGACGCTGCAATCAAGTAATATATTTTTTCCGCCCTAACAGGCATTAGCAAAAACTACGAGGGAAAAAGAAACTTTCATCCCAGTGGAATAAGTATAAACACGCGGCTGGTTTTGAAAGAAGACTACCATCTTGGACACTTGCGAACGTTGGGAGAGTTTGACAGTTTTCTGGGGGAGGAAGCTGGTGGAAAAACTGGGTTTACGGTTGTTGGAATCGAACCCTGGACTTTTGGCATCCGCCATGGATGGAAAAGAGAAGTACAAGGTGGTCCGGAGATACTGTTCGGTCGGCTCTATCACGAAGCTACTGCTCTGTTTTACGTTTTTGGTGATTTCAAGAAGAGGTGAGTAGGTTCAACTCGTTAAAAATTAAAAAAAATAGACTTTTACACAACCAAGTGTTTTATTCAACCGACGTTTCGCTGACCGTCTGTCACCTTCCTCAGGGCAATTTTGAGTCAGAATTGCCCTGAGGAAGGTTACAGATAAAACACTTGGTTGTGTAGAAGAGAGTCTTTTTACTCATTGACTTACCAACCTGCTGAAACTATTCACGGAGGTTCAACTCGTTAGAGTTTAACATGAAATGAAATAAGAGAGACATGCGTCATGCTAGTCAACATACATGGTCTAAACATAACGGGAGCTGTGTACAATCTATTTTGATTTATAGGCAGTAATGCAAAAAGAAAAGTAAAGTAGAAAAATATATCTGCATGTTTTCATAAATTGAAGCGGCTTAAGTTATCGTGTTGAGCGCACTAAGTTTTCTTAAGTTTTTCAAAGCAACGCGTAAAAGTGTTTGTGCTCCTATATCATCACCATCACGTTAGATTTTCGTATAAACCAACTAGGTTTATAAAGCTTTTCGGATTCATATCGACTAAAAAGTTGATGAAAAGAAATTGCAATGAAAGTATGTCAATTGGCATAAAGACAGGTTGACAGAAGTTTTTTAAATGGCAGCCACGTATTCAATGTGACGTCAAAAAATCGAAACGAATCAAACATGCCGATTTCATACGAGGTAATGTCCGTTATATAGGTTGTATACTTAATGAAAGATTTTGAAATTTGTGTTACGGTTTATTTTTACAGTCTCACTTCATTACACCTACTTTTTCGATTAAGGTTAGAGTCTACTATTATCGGTTTGTAAAATTGTCCGACGTTAGTTTCCTTAGACATATTCTTTCCTTATTCGTAAGAACGTGCATTTGTATGGAAAATACAATAAAATTATATACAATCTTGTAATTTTTCATTTCAATAGCTTTCCTTGAGTGTTGTATTAGCGGCATAGACAAGCAAACGGAGTGAACCACAAGCAAAACCTACATGGTCATGATCGTAGTATTCCGTTGGGCATCGACAAAGATGAAACGAATTCCGAGCAGTACATCAGCCTCATTTGAATAGGATAGAGAAAGCTTGGTAGGAGAAACGGTACAAAATCAACATTCTATCCCACTAAAAACAAAATTTCTGCACACTATCAATTAATAAAAGGCAGTAGAATACTTTACTGAAGATGAAATTGGTGAAGTCTTCAAGTAATTGTTAAATCGTGGACATAAACTGCGACATTGATATCATAATGATAAAAGACCTGAACTCTTGGATTCTGAAACATCACATTTTTGTTGGCAAACGTAGAAACATATAACTCTTCGTAAGACACAAACAGTAAACACCATAGCAATTAATTCACTAACATAACGACTGCAATGATGGTAAAGTCTTGTTATAAGTCTGATAGAATGATTCGTCTGCAGAGACAAACAGCTAGTTTGACTGAGAGATTTTTTGATCGATGGTGTTGATGAATAATCTTGTGTCCTTGTACCTAATGAATGCTGTCTGTTGTTTGGAATTTTGCTACGGGAAGAGTAACAAAACAAGGTTTTTAAGGATTTGTCTTTTTGTTTTACGGGAAGATAGGAAGACTACTGAAAATGCAGTCCGCTTTATGTAAAAAAAAACTCATGTTTACAAAGGACGCCATTTTATTCAGTAAAATGTGAGCATCAAAGTACACAAGTATTGTCATAGTTTTGTCTGCGCTTCTAAGTAAGAATCATTTAAACATTAAAATCTATAACTATACTATATTCACAGTACTGATTGATTTACTTCCAAATCATTTATTGTGTACAAAATGTTTTGTGGCATAGAAGACGGCCATCTCTGAAGTAGGTTGCAACCTGTCCTGTGTCCTTACAAGCATTCTACGACTTTTACCACGAGAAGGGCGTGCTATCCTTTAACCGGGACGGAGGGCGATATCGACTTCCAACAAACTTTGACACTTTGCTGACGTCACATGTGCATAACGACCCTAGAGCATTGGGTCAAATAGCTGAACAATGCTGATTGAGTCCCATAGTTTTGCTGGGGAAGAGTTTAATTTTTCCAGATTAGGGCGTCATTTGTTCACTCTTTGGAGTGGTGTACAGAGTTCGTCCTTTGCTGGTACTCTCAATGGCTTTCATGACTCATCGACTGGTCCTCAGCCGGAATGTTGTTTATGTGTTGCCATGGCAACGGCAACACACTGGGCCATGGTGGAGTCAGCCTCAATGGTGCTTTCTGTCATTCTTATTAATTTACTGTTCTGATTTATGTATATTTTTGTGTGCGTGTATGGCTTTTTGCGGCAACATAAAAGTTTTGAAGTTAGAAACGTGGCACACAACATATGAAAAATATTGTGAAGGCAGGCCTAGGCGCCTAGGTCTAAAAACATATACGACTTAAATACAGTTTGATCTTTGCTTACTTTATTTCTTTATTTCAGGCATAACTCGCCCATATACAACATACATATAAAATACACACACAATTACATCAGTAAAAGAATAATATGACTATATGTACAGACGGGCCCAGTTATTGCAAAAGAATCTGCTACGGAATATCACCTCAGATTTGAGAACAGATTGGATAATGTTGTTTGATGACTTGTACAGACGGGATATAAATGAGTAACATTGTTTACGCCATGCAGCATCAAATGTTTCAATCCTATTGTAGACAAACATTTTGCGTCTTCAACTTATAGAATTATGAATATTTATTTTGTCCTTGACCGGTTAAGTTTTGGTCCTTTGAAACTTTTCAATACCCGGTGTCCGGCTTTGGTCTTTGCCTATTTATGAAGACTTAAAACATTTGTGGAAGGATTGACGTAACAGGTGTCTATCACCTCTTCAAGATGTTAACCCTGAGACCAGACTGTAATGTTTGAACCACTTACACAGAAAAGGATCCCTGCTCTTTTCGATAAGTGAGGTGGGGTCTTTAACGTGTCCGAAGTGTGGCCTTAAGGCTTCACGTCCCATCTGAAATAACGTCCCTTACTGAAATAAGGTACCGATTTTCACCTGAGTCGAGTGAGGAAATATGTGCAAAGGTCCTTTCCCAAGGACACAAAAATGGCGCCCTGCCAGGGATTCGAACCCAGGACCTTCGGAATCATTAACTCTAACCACAAGCCTACCTTGCCCCCCTCAGACCCAGTCGTGGCGCTAACAGTGGTGAACCAGAGCCCCCTGATGGACCCCATCAACACGTCATACATCAAGTGTGTCACAGACGAACCGGGAGAGATCGTCACCTTCTCCGCCGTGGACGAGTTCTTGTAAGCTTTTTTTTTTCATGAAAACAGTGGGGTTCGAATAAAAGAAATGTTTATTGCAAATTCGTGCCCGAGGGCTAATTGCAGGAACAGAAGAAACATATGGTATGAAACAGATAATTATTACACATAGAACTACTGATAACTACTAAGAAACTACTAGTAAATACTACTGGGTTTGAGTTCTTTTTTTAATCACTTTAGAATGACATTCAATGAATTTTGTTTCATCAAAAACCATATTAATTTTCTAGCTAGTTTAGTCACTTATATATATGTTGCATTTTATTTATTTGAGTTTAATTTTCAGCTATACGGATTTCAGTCTACATTTCTCAGTTATGTATTTCTCTGTTAACTTTTCTTTTTATATAAATTTTATCAAGCAATCAATCAAGCAATCAATCAAGCAATCAATACCCCTTATTTATACTTTTTTTTATTATGTTGTGATACCCTAGGCCCTCTTGGAAACCAGCATTCAATGTTGAAGGGGCCACGCAGGTGTTTTTTTAAATCTTAAAAGATGAAATAAATAAATAAATGAATATGAATTTTTCTTTGCATCTTTCTTCGACACTGTCCCTCTTCAATTAGTCATAGTTTTAGAAAATGCTTCCGTCCATGAGGTGTCGCCAAAAATAATCAGTCTTGTTATCATGAAAGTTCATCTGTGTTGGTAGTAATCATAGTAAAATGTTGAACTTTATTCCAACACAAGGGTTACAGAGCTGTCAAATTTTCGACGACAACTGTCGCCTTCATCAGGATAATTAATGACCAATCACTTCACAACGTGATCTCGCGAGAGTTACGGTTTACAAACACGTGACCTTATTCACACGAGATTTTACTGATACGTGACGTAAGCAATTAATTATCCTGATGAAGACGACAGTGGTCGTCGAAAATTTAATCGCTCTGTAACCCATGTGTTGGAATAAAGTTCAATGTTTTACTACAATCAGTCTTGTTTTTCTCCTCCTTCCCCAGACTCCCTGAGAACGCCACTACAGACGATATCGCCCCTGAAGAGTGGCCCGGGAAGATGATGATTTTACCGCCGCATCCCGAGGACGGGTACAACCGGCTGGGCACGTACAACTGTGCCTCCTTCACCGCCAGTATCAACACCGTCAAGATGCCTGCTGACGGTACGTGTCGATTTTTATCTTGATTTGATTTATTGAAAGTACAATACACGCGGAACAGAGGCAGCTGTTGCTGGTGTTGTGTTCCGCACATAGAAACGGATACTGGACAGACAATACTCATTTTCACTTGAGTCTAGTGGGAAAGTCGTGTAAAGTGCCTTTCCCAAGATCGGTGGCATGTCAGGACTCGAACCTGGGACCTCTTGATTCCGAGTCGCACACGCTGCCGTTGCGCCACACGACCCACCTTCCACAAGAAGGTTATGTTTTCGGTTATGTCACGGTCAATAGCATAAATCGAGAAGCTGTGGATTAGTGATATTTGGTAGGTAGTTGAGAAGGGGTGTGAAAAGGAAGGTTAAGGTTGAAAATTGTTAACCTGGCGTTTTATTGCGGTACTGCAGCGGGATTTTTATGTACTAGAGTAAAATACAACTGTGCTCCCTTCACGGCCAGCATCAACACTGTCAAGATACGGTACGTTTCAATTTTTGACGACGCCTTAGGGGTGGAGGAGTTTTTACCTTCGACAAGAAGGTTGTGTTTTCGGTTATGTCACGGTGGAGTGGCTGTGGCCTGGGTCTGTATGTAGGTCAATAGCATAACTCAAGCAGTTGTGAAAAGGAAGGTTAAGGTTGAAAATGGTTTACCTTGAGTTTTCCCGCGGTACAGCAGCGGTACAGCAGATTTCATACGTCCCAGAAGTCTGGTATCTCTCATATCTTGTTACAAACGTGTGAAACTTTCTGTACTGTTTTTTTTTCCAGCCACGGTGAGACCGGACGTGTACACCAAGACGTTTAACGCTGGGGAGGAGATCGAGATCAGCATGACAGAGTTTTCTACACCGTCAGGAGCATCGGTGAGTGAGACAGCCCTGTAATGTCACTTTGTTATGAACATAAACAAGTAACTAGAATGGTAACATTTGAAAAGCAAATGCATAACATTTACTTTTACATGTTCTAGCTTACCAAACTAATGCTGTGTTTATTCCTACTCATCAAAAGAATTCATATATAATATATGGTAAGCAGTCCCTCCAACTCTGACCTGCTAGAATGTAACCCAACACCACAGGTTGTCTGCTACAGCACCGGTTACCATGGTGACAGACGTCTGTTGCAGGTCACGGACTTTATTTGTCCGGAGAAGAAGATGAAGAAACTAAATAAAAAAATAAGTTTTCCTTCTGCGAAGCCAAACATGATAAACAGGAAGGAAGAGTTAAATTGTTCTATTACTAACAAAATTGGACTCACCGGGATTTCAATTGACCCACTTAGTCTTCTTTAGTTATCTTACCAAAACCTTTAGGACACGTGACTTTTTGCACGTGTTATGTCATTAGCTTGTTAGAAGTCGATATCGGCCCCCGTTTAGGGGCCGTAATAAACAAATACAGTTCAAGGCATTTTGAACAAAGAGAAACAAACAAATATTGTCGTAGTACTTTAAACATTAAACAAAACATTGCATTAAATGTACTTTAAACATTAAATAAAACATCACATTAAACTTAATACGTTTTTCTTTCTTTTCCAGTTGACTTGGTCCTTCAATGGAGAACCGCTGGTCAACAGTTTCGCCAGTAGTCAGGTCAGTCTGCAATCTGCCACTTCCGCCCAGTCCGGAACCTACCACTGCTACCACGAGGGGTACAAGGAGAAGGGCGCACTCACTAGGGTCATCGTGAGAGGTACCTGAGTTCCGTTTTTTTACCTCCATAAAAAATGGAGGTATATTGTTTTTGGCGTGTCTGTATGTGTGTGTGTGTGTGTGTGTGTGTGTGTGTGTGTGTGTCCCCGGACATTTTCGGCTAGCATAACTTTTGAACCTTTGGATGGATTGTAATAATATTTGATATGTGGGTAGGTGTTGGGTAGGCAAAGTTCAAGGTCAAATATGGGCTTCCTGGTGACTACTCTTGGTACTGCAGCAGAACTTCCGGTTTTTGTATCTTTTGTCCTGAACACGCTGTGGTCTTGACTTTTTGGTGACAGATAGCTTTTTTGGTGTCAGGAATAAGTAGTATTATGCAATTGATGAGCTAATTTGCATAATTAATATGAAAATTCTGTGATTCCTTATTGGTGAATGATGGGAATTTTATACCTTGTGACATGTGTAAGTCACTTTTTATGTTAATGTACGTGTCATTTGCAGAATTAATGAGGACATATTGAAATGAAATATGACACGAAAAATATTGTAATTTGAATTCAGAAAGCCATAAATTTAACTAGATTATGGTAATCACGACGTTATTTCCATAGTCAATGAGACGAATATAAGAAACATTAACAGAAACTCAAATATTTCATGGAGGTATAAGATCTCCGAATTCTTGTTTCAGAAAGGAAAGAGCAGTTGTTTTGATACTTTTTTTTGCCATTAGGCCATGTTGATTTGATTATATGGATGACATCCGCGCGCGCATGAATTTTCGGCCGTTTCCAAAAAAAAAGAGTTTTCAACCATACTGTAAATCGTACAAAACAGTTGCAAAATGAGCAAAAATATACCGTAAGTTACAAAAAAATAACTAAAAAGTATACCAATGTCGTAGAATGCCAAAATCAAACAAAAAAGACGAAATTGTAAAGAAATGAACTTGAAGACTAGATTATTCGCCAAACTATATTCTGTGCCATTTGTTTAACCTTCAAAACCACGTACATTTCATAATGAAAACAACTTTTTTTTTGCAAAACTTTTTTTTTATTCGCACGTGCGCATCAGTTTTGGGGTTCCTGGAGGATGTCATCCATATAATCAAATCAACATGGCCTTATTTTACCAGAATGTGCAGCAGGAAAGTGGGGTCCGGGATGTTTCCTGGGTTGTAGCGAGTGTTACAACGGCGGCTGGTGTGATGACATGACCGGGCAGTGTGTCTGCCCGCCTGGATTCTACGGAGAAACCTGCGACATCGGTAAGCGTTGCCGTCACTCACGCCAAAGCCTATTTCATAAATAACTCCACACTTCCCTACCGGTTAATACTCAAATCATATTCTTCTATACTGCGTTTTCATATATTTCTCATTATATTGTTTGAAGTACATTGTACTTATTAATTGATAAATTTATTGATTTGTTATATTTTCATCTGCTTGTAGCCAAATCTATTTATCTAGTTTGGTTCACCGTATAGTTTCATTACTTATGCCAAACTTTATTATTTTGTCTAATTGGTTCATTTTTTCATTGTACATGTTTAAAATATTTTCATTACTTCTTTCTTGTTATTTATATTTCATTTGATATAACTGTGGAAATTGTAAAATCATGATGGGGAGGATATCAAATAAGCCTTTGTAGCTTTTCTTCCACCCCTTGCACGTTCATTTCCATTGCAATATTTTGTATAACTTTTATTATGTATGTGCCGATAGATAGATAAATAAATAAAATGAATAAAGTCATATTTCAAATATTCTATTCTCCTGTAGGGTCTAATCATAAAAAACTTCATTTAGTTAAAGTCAACCAATGCAATTTCAGGGTGGCAAAACAAAGATATTCTGGATGAGGAAATCCGTCTGACACATTACGTCATCATTTCATACTTGACGCGTTTGAAATATCCACAAAACAACCTACGTGAGGAGCCCCTTTATTTTTTGGTACCACCAATAAATAGAACCAGCCTACGATACAACGCAAGTAACTGTTCTCCATTGCATTTTGCCTCACAGATATCAGATTCAACCAAAAATTGACTAGAAAATTGACGTTGATAATTCAGTTTTACTGCCTTTTAAAGGTATATGAATTTTCACCTGTTCAATGCACCTGCTTCATATAAGCCTTCTTCAGTAGTTAACCAAATCACTCTGGACACGTAACGTAGATAAACGGTCAAAGGTCATAACCTGAAATCTCGTTTGGTCTCGTGATAGCTTGCGGACCGGGCAGGTTTGGTTTCGAGTGTCGGAAGGCCTGCGATGACATCACGGAAGACGTGTCTGCCTGCATGGGCAAACTGTTCTGTGTCCCTGACCCGTTTGGCTGCTCCTGTATCCCCGGATTCACTGGAATCGGCTGCAACGAACGTAAGTCATATTTCTGTAGATATCTGAGATGGACCATTGTCTTAGGATATCTTCATCAGTGTCGTTTAGTTGATTGGTTGATTGATTGATTATATGGTTGATTGCTTGATATGAACTGTATTATACATGAAAGTTATGATTTTTATGTAGGGAATTGAATAATTAAAGCTACCCCTTTGTATGAAAGGAAAGATTGCAAACATGTTGAATCCGTTTTTTTTTTCATCAACGTTACATTGAAAAGTGACTACAGTCATGTAACTCGAGGTGCATTTTCTTATTTTGCCGTTTGAATAATTGGTATTTTTACAATACATACAAGATTACATGATATGTATTTGTTGTGTGTTATATTTTGACTACATCCCAATATGTTTACGCTTTACTTGTTTACTCTTTACTTGTTGGTATGTTGACACTACTTGTTTAGGCTTCGCTTGTTGAAGAGTTTACACATTACTTGTTTAGGATTTATTTATTAAAAGTTTACGCTTTACTTTTGTACATGTTTTACTCTTTATAATTACTTGTTTATGCTTTAGTTGTTTAAATGTTTACGCTTAACTTGTTTAATGCTTTAGTTGTTTAAATGTTTACGCTTTAATTGTTTATGTTTTACTTGTTGAAATGTTTACGCTTCTCTTGTTTATGTTTACTTGTTGGGACGAACCATCAGCCTGCCCGAGGGGTAAATACGGAGCGGGCTGTACCCAGCAGTGCCGCTGTCGGCTCAACCTACCCTGTGACGCCATCACTGGGGAATGTACTAACGGATGCGCGGATGGATACATGGGGCCTTCGTGCCAAAAAGGTGGTGAAAATATTTTCCAACCTTCTGCGCGAAAATATGCACTGATTGTTTCAATGTACGCTAGTTGTATTTTAACCCAATAATCTATTATTTCGTGGTCTGAAAGATGTAGATTTGTAGTTCCACATTGCCATAAACTCAATATTACGATATCTTAGCATAGGGCTAGGGAAGAAACTTCTTTACCCAGAAAGGAAACTTCAGCCATCTTCAATATGGTTGACCGACATACTGTGGTCACGTGACCATATAGACGTAGGCGTAGGCAATGCAAGATGATCGCCATGACGTCACGGTAGGCAAAAGGGGAGGTGACGGTTGGTTGGTTTGTCTTGAAATGATTTGCATGTGTATCATGTAAACAAAAGCAGTGATCACTCGTATGATTTTCTGCCCCCCTCCCCAGCCTGTATGGTGGACAATGGTGTGTCGTATCAAGGCCCGGTCTCTACCACAGAAAGCGGATACACCTGCCAGAGGTGGGATTCCCAGAATCCCTGGCAGCACGGCTTCAATGTAGAACGGACACCGATGCTTCAGGTAAGCTCCTTTTTTGGCGACGCCTCAGAGGCGGAGCCATTTTGTAAATTAGAATTCTGTTCTGTTTTCGTGCTTTTTTCAAATAAATTTGTTATGTACCGCAATATGTTCGTGCACTAATTTTGAATGTATTGTACAAATTAATGGAATTGAATAAAAGGTATCGAACTTGAATCTCTAGGAAGAAAGTATAAATCGGTTTCATGAAAAAAAAACACATCTTTATCCGAATAAATGTCCAGTAATTTCTTCTCTCGTGCTGTTACCTTATATAGGAAAACTACTGCCGTAACCCTGACAACGAGCCACGCCCTTGGTGCTACACGACCAGCTTCGCCAAGCGGTGGGAGTACTGTAACATTGAACAATGCGGTAAGAACTACTGTAACTTTCCCGCAATACAGGTATTGCGATAGGAAGGGACCGACTACTTTTGTATTAAATAAAGGCACTCAAACCGATTTCATGGCAGTAAAACAGGATTTACGAGGTTAATTTCCTTGCAAGTTTTAATGTAGTACATTAAAGCTGCATATCCCAAAGCATACTGATATATGTGAGGCAAAATTGCGATAGCATTGACAGAAAACGGTTATCTCTTATCGTCGGCTGGTTCTAGTTATTTACAGGTGGTACCAAAAAATAAAGGTACTCCTCATGTAGCTTGTTTTGGGACTATTTTTTCAACCATTAAATGATGATAAAAATATTATACGAAAATGACGTAAATGTTTGGTAGTTGTTTAGAAATTGCATTCGACACCGTCGAAAAATTATATAGATTAGGTCACTTAGATGCATGCGGTAGAACAACAATTTGTATCGTACTATTTATGCCAGCTCCGTTTCTCCGTTCAAAGATTCTAATTTAGTTCTTTTATTTCATCAGAGGAAGTTGATAATTGTAGCCCAGAGACCTGCCAAAATGGCGGCACCTGTCGGAACGGCTTCAACACCTACCTGTGTGTGTGTCCCAGGGGGTACACTGGACCCAACTGTGAGACAGGTCAGTATGGCGTCACTTATTTTTTTTATTCCAACATGTAATCACCAGACGTGGTGACGGCACACTCGAGTTTTATCAACTTATATCAATGCCGCCACCGACACAGGGGACAAATACATGACAGTACAATACTCATTTTCACCTGAGCGAAGTGAGGAAAGTCGTGTAAAGTGCCTTTCCCAAGGGCACAAGATCGGTGGCGTGTCAGGACTGGAACCCGACTTATTGACTTCCGGTTTTCAATATTGTGTTTTGTATGAAGCAATTTTAAACTGTACATTCCAGCACAAGAAAGTGGAATTACCCAAATTTTGGACTGTACAACTCCAGTCTTCGTCAAGAAATGAGCAATCGACCGCCTCTCTGACGTTACGTTATGTAGATGATGCACGTAACTCGGTGAGCAGTGGGCCATACGTTGAAGAAAGTCTGTGGCGTCTCCCGTCTATGTTGAGAGATTGTCTTCTATTTTAGCACAAGATAACCGTTTCAATCTTTCCCAATGCAGTCAGTATGTAGCAAATTCATGCCATTGACCAAGTGGCCATCAAACCTGAATTTTGACGATGTTTATTTGTTTATGCTCTTGTCTTGTTTAGAAATTGACGAATGCTCTTCGGACCCGTGCCAGAATGGCGGAACGTGTATAGACGATGTGGGCTTCTATGAATGTGAATGCGCGGAGGGATTCCATGGAACGAACTGTGAAGAAGGTCGGTAAAAAGTCAGATTTGAGGATTTCTTCTACACTTCCCCGTAACTAAATGTCTACACCTTACATTTAAAGTTAAGACTTTTCTTCCAACACAAAGGTAAATATCCTCACCTAGAGCTTTCGATCAGAGCACTCTGGTCTTCCTCAATAGACTGACCCAGTGAGGCTTGTCACGTGGCTACTCTACGGCTTATTGTAAGGTAGTCATTTTAATAGTCGATGATCACTTGCGGGTTTTGGTAATATGGCATTATGACGTACTAAGAGCAATTATGTGTTGAAAATCTGGAAATGTGCAAGACAAGTAATGCGTCTAAGAAAGTCGTGAAAACATACACATATGTACGTCTCAACACAATGCAAAAATAGGTAAATACATAAAAAAACTGCTTTGTTATTAGAAAAAATACCGAAACTCGTGATTAGCTCCACTCGACTGTAACACTTTATTAAAGACTTGTGCTAGCCCTTGAGTAATTAGGATATAGTATTTTTTTCTACATTAGGTCTTATTCAATACATTTTTATGTAATTTGCCATACATTGTACCATGAGCAATTGTCGTGCAATATTAATAGGAATAAGAATGATAAAGTTCTTTTTCACTTTTTTTCCTGGTCTCCATAGAAACTAACGAATGTCTGTCGGAGCCGTGTGAGAATGGAGGGACTTGTCTGAACACGGAAGAAGGACTCAAGTGCGCCTGTGTGGGAGGGTTTACTGGGACGTTTTGTGAGACAGGTAAGCTCTCGATTTCCATGCAAATGTAGGTCAAATTACCTCCACACGGAGGTATTGTTTTCGGTATTTGGGTGCAAATGGGAAAATGCAAACAGGCGTAGGCAGAGAAATTCAAAATAACGGATAAAACAGAAAAAATGTAAATATTTCTAATATACACAGTATACGTAGTACATCTCCAATTTCTTTTTTGGTTCTAGTGTCTGTCTATCTTGATCATTATCCTACTCAGTATAAGGTGACAAAAATAACCTTTATTTTGCAATGCGAATTATGCGTAATTTTACAGCAGCGAGCTTTAGAAGGTACATGATTGCATCTAATTATTTCTTAACTTGTAAACTTTATTAAGCAATCAACTTTGTAGTCTTTGGCAGGACTAAATTGGGTTGATTTTACATTTCATTCATAAAAAAAACATTACATTTAAAATACCATTAGTTTAAAAAGACAGCGAAGTTGACGGTTCTTTTGACCTTCTTTCCTCACTCCTATCCAGAAATCGACGAATGTCTGTCCAGCCCCTGTATACACGGAGGAACGTGTTACGACTTCCAGAACTACTACGTCTGCGACTGTAGATTCGGGTACGCTGGAGACCATTGCGAGGATGAATTGGGTAAGAGATATGTTGACGATGTGAACTAAGTTGATTTGCATATATCTATTTTGCATAAATGGGATTCTTACATGCTGGCGTTTCCCCTCTTGGAAGATATTTTCGAAAACGGAACACTGTAGGTATGGGTACACTGGAGACCATTGCGAGGATAAGTTGCGTGTATTACTGTAAGAAACAAGCTGATATTGTAAACCAAGTTTGATTTACATATATGTACCTATTTTACATAAATGGGAATCTGACGTGCTGGCCTTTCCCCTCTTGGAAGATATTTTCGAAAACGGAACACTGTAGGTTTACTGGAGACCTTTGCGACGATTAATTGGGTAAGAAACAAGCCGACGATGTGAACCAAGCTTAATTTGCATATATCTATTTTGCATAAATGGGAATTTCACATGGTGGCGTTTCTGCCTTTGGAAGATATTTTCGAAAAGGAGACACTGTAGATTCGGGTACACGAGACCATTGCGAGGCTCGAGGATGAATTGGGTAAGAAACAAGCTGACGATGTGAACCAAGCTTAATTTGCATATATCTATTTTGCATAAATGGGAATATTACATGGTGGCGTTTCTGCCTTTGGAAAATATTTTCGAAAAGGGAACACTGTAGGTTTGGGTACGTCGGAGACCATTGCAGGGATGAAGTGGGTGTAAGAAACAAGCTGACGATGTGAACAAAGTTTTATTTGCATATATCTATTTTGCATAAATGGGAATCTTACCTGCTGGCATTAATTTATTTCTCCCTTTCTTTTGGAAGATATTTTCCTGGTAGGAAATACCATATTTAATCGACAAAAGGTGGAAAACAAATGATATCTCATGATCAGTATATTTGTCAACAATTTCTAGAAAAAGGTCAACGTCATACTATAAGAAATGCCTCCGCCCCTAAGGCGTCGCCAAAAAGGATTGTAACCCTATTTGTCTTTTGCAGAAATTGACTACTGTCTGCAGAACCAGTGCCAGAATTCAGCCCGCTGCGTCAGCGGAAACAGGAGCTACATGTGTCTGTGTTCCACCGAATACACCGGCGACTACTGTGAGCAAAGTAAGTCTCGATTAAGATACACGGTCTAAATAAATATTTAACAATGAAAAATAAAATTTCATTATAATTAGCAACAGGAAAGAAAGGTGCATCAAATGAAGAGCGTTTTTATCTAGAAGGGAATTTTGTGCAATATTCCGTTGTTTTATATCTTGTGTAAAAATGACTTAAAACTTCTATAAACAGTAAGTTAGATGTAGTCCTGGCCGCGGATTGGTGCTTTGGTGCTATATTTCCTCCATAAGCAAACATACAAGTTCAAACAGAGAAGTATGTAGCTAATCTTCCTGGAGTTAGACATACATCATACAAACTACATCGAAATTGAAACATTATTTTGCCAAACAAGGTGCGAGTTGGCGATTTTTGAGTTTCAATTAGATTTACTTTAATTATACATATTTTATCTCATTTTATCTTTCATTATCTTGTTTTGCTTTGATTTATTACATATTATTTCATATCGTTGAAACATTATTTTGCCAAAAGGCGCACTTTGGCGATTTTTGGGTTTCAATTAGATTTACTTTAATTACATATATTTCATCTCATTTTATCTTTCATTATCTTGTTTTGGTTTGGTTTATTACATATTATTTCATATCATTGAAACATTATTTTGCCAAAAGGCGCACTTTGGCGATTTTTGGGTTTCAATTAGATTTACTTTAATTATATATATTTCATCTCATTTTATCTTTCATTATCTTGTTTTGGTTTGGTTTATCACATTTTATTTCATTTTATTTCATTTCCTTTTATTTTTCAAGATTTGGCAGATCTTGAAAAAATCCCAACGGCCAACATCATCGCAGCGGCCATCGCGTCCGTCGTTGTGATCGCCGCCATCGCGCTTGGGGCGTACCTGTACATCAAGTCTTACGAGGCTCAGCGCGTCATACCGCTGAAGAAGAAAGAAACACCTTTAGTTGACGCGGAGGGAGGACAACAGGCGAAGAAGGGATCACATCTTTCTGAAAGCACGGTGTGAGGACGTTCGGGGTTAGAACGATAGATTTTAGTGTTTTCAGGACGGACCATTAAGGATAATTGATACAATTTGATCACTGGGAAAATACTTGGTTGCAATTGGATGGCTAGGAAAATACTTGGCTGCAATTGGTTGCAATTGGATGACTAGGAAAATTCTTGGCTGCAATTGGTTACAATTGCATGACTAGGAAAATACTTGGCTGCAATTGGTTGCAATTGCATGACTAGGAAAATACTTGGCTGCAATTGGTTACAATTGGATGACCAGGAAAATGCTTGGTTGCAATTGGCTAACTATGCCAATACTTAGTTGAAATTGGATGACTAGGAAAATACTTGGTTGAACTAGGAAAATAATTGGGTGACTAGGAAACTGTTTTAGAAGGGATACAGGGATGACAAAAGGGGTACTAAAAGGGAAAAGATTACTATTATTTACTTTTTTGTAACGAATTTGCTCAGTGTAAGGCCAAGAGATCAGTTGTACGCTCTGAACTAAGTTCCGGTCACGGAAAAAGTGTCTCTTCTCTAAGCTCAATTTCCGAGAAATCTCTAGAATAAGCAGACAGACAACATTCTATTTGGTCCCTTCGTTACTTTATTCTTCAACCTCATGGTCACAACCTCAATCTGTGGTGGTCTCCTTCTCTCTGACCTTTTATTATTATTATCTCTCTACCATCTGACTGGACCCTACCATTGTCTACACATACATAGGGGGTTTTACTTCAACATTCAACGTTAGATCCACTGAAAGTGAGCCAAAAGGAGAACACAACAATAAGAATTAGTTTGGAAAAGAAATTAAAACTATGACAACCATTGCCCATTACCCTTTTTTGGTTATACTGTAACGTCTACATCCGTTATATAATATAGTTCTGTCTTTCTGTTAAATCCACGTTTTTTGTGGGTATTGTGGAAACTTTAAAATCATTCTGCAACATTCACCTTCTTTATATGACACAATTACGACGAAGGCTTTGATAAATTTTGGTATCTGCCAGATCGTAAATACTTCTGAATCAATGAAATAAGAAAAACAACAAAAAACAACAAAACAAAAACAAAAGAAATAGACTTAACTGATACATTTCGATTAGTAAAGTCCTACTCATATTAGTAAATCCTGGCAGTAGACACGTATTAATTGTAGTTCCAATAGTCTTGGTTCTAAAACTTTTAAACAAAATGTCTAAAATGTACATTCAATGGGTTATTCCATATGTTGTCTAATTGGCAACAACAACTTTAAATAGGAATAAGAAAATTATGTTAAAAAAAGAGAAAAAAATAACATTTGCTGGCAAGTGTTTTGCAACACACGGCTTTCGGAAAACTATCCTTCAAATCAAATTTGTTCAATACTTATATTTACTAATCCATTGTGTGACTAAATCTGAAAATAAAATGTCCTTAATTTTATCTCATCAGCCATACCACCTAGGACGTCAAGTCCATTTTGTAGTACATTATTCTGACATACATGTATGGAGTGCTCTAATGATATATACGATAAAAATGACTTTGCAGTTATATGATAATGGTGTTGGATATAGTTACATAATATATCTTTCTATCGTGTTAGATATGCTTCAGGAAAAAAGAAAGATATTAATATCTTCATATTGCCAACACTAGGTCTAGTTCTGCCTAACATAGAGGGTTAAGTCTTACATTAGATAACAAAAGTGGATTATATTTTCTTATGTTTCTTTCTCTCAATAGAGTAACCATGGTAAAATGTTTTTCTTTAGACAACGGTGACAAAGGAAAGCAAATGAAAATAATGTTCAAATCTTTGCTAGACGTAATATTATACAATACCTCCTATTAACATGAACAACTTGTATACTTGTATGCCTGCTTTTTAGGTACTAGTACTCTTTTAAACCAGTGTGATTATATCAATTATCAAAAAGTTTCCTATTATTGATATCACGTATCAGTTACTTATACCACATTTACCACAACTAGTCACAGACTACTAATACACATTTTGTTAAATGTATTGGTGGCCAAAAATTGAGGTGACTTAGACAGTTCTTTCAAATTGCAATTTAAAAAAAATCTTAACATGTTGGCAAGCTGTTTCTTTTCTTCCTGTAAATGGGTTAGTGCGACTTGATATTTGTACAGTCAATTTAGCTGTCATTTTACAAATGATCTCCTCAAATACTTTCCACCTTCATAGTTATCCTGTATTGGAATAAGCAACAATAATGCTACACATTATCATATACAATGCTAATTATCACCATACACATGGTATCTTAGCCATTACAATACTGATATATCTCTTGTTTTATTACTTTTCTGTTTTCTGTTGGAAACAATAATTTGAGATCATGTTTATAGAGTGCTGTTGTAAAACCTGATCTATGTTTTAAATCTAAAGTCCTCTTTCGTTTCAGTCTCGTTGATGAAATAAATATCAAACCCTATGGATGCATTGCTATCATTGTAAGGCTAATGTGGCTTGTACGAGTGATGTAGCTTAGGCCACAGCTAGAAGTAATTTCTATGGATGACATCAGCGCGCGCATTAATTTTCGCCTGATTTTGACAAAAAAAATACAAGAAATTTTGTTGCCTTTTGACAGTGGTCACCATGCCGAAAATGGACAAGGATGTCTGTTGCCATGCCGGAAGGTGGATGACAGATAACTATGAAGAGAGGAGACAAGAAAAGGCTCTGATTTAATGTTTTGTTTCTTACTTTGATGCAGTGATATGTGATGTTGGCTGTGTATATGTGATGTTCCCACTGAATCAAAACCATTTGTACAATGGTTGAGTCAAAATATAAAATGTAGGAACCTTTTTTTTTCGGCCCGCCTTGTTTTTTTCGCGCGATCGCATTAGATTTGGAGTCTGCGGAGGATGTCATCCATACTTGCTGTGGCCTTATTCGCAAGTCAAGTTCCAATAAATTTAAAAGAAGCTAACAGCCTTGCTTTGGAAATTTAAAATACAACAAAACAGCTAGCCTTTAAATGTATCAATCTCTGCTCCTTATAGTTTCTAACACCATTAAGTACAACTATCACATGCACATGTATATTCATGTATTCGGATCTGTTTCAATAAAAACATATGGGTGTTAATAACAAAGTAATAATTTTTAAGCATGATGGTCATGTCAATAATAGAAACCTGACACACCACTCAATCTATATGTAATTTAGTAGGAGTTTTTAATTACTGGTTGAAGAAACAAATCAATTCAAAATCTCCAAATAACTTGACATTTTATTTGAGCTTTAGATGACCAGAATCTGGATTCTTTGAAAGAGGAAATATAAACAATTTATGGGCTCTCCAATTGTGTCCGTTGTTTTGTTCACTCTGACATGAAACTCGCCAAGAGCATGGCTCTGATTTTCTTTGACTGGAGCCAATAAACAAAAATCTTGTATTTTGTCAAAG